TGTTGGCCCGAAAGTCAGACCCGCCACGTTCACTCACCACGGAGTGGAGTCTCCGACAGCATCGCTTTCGTCATCTCATCCCGAAGTATATCTTGCAACGGCTTAGGGTTTAAGGTTTAAGGTTTAGGGTTTAGGGTTTAGGGTTTAGGGTCCGAAACTCTACAGCTAGAAGCAGCTAGAAGCTGAACTTCAGCGCGAGACAGTGGCAAGCAGATGTCATGTGCCCGCAGCAGCCCACGGAATCGCCAAGACAAGCACTGATGCTTTGAACAGGGTTTAGGGTTTAGGGTTTAGGGTTTAGGGTTTAGGGTTTAGGGCTAGGGTTTAGGGAACACTCCAGAAACATTGAACTCCCCCCGTATTTCCTCCCTGGAATTGGAGAGAACCCTGTGCTGAAACACACCGGGGCCTTGCGATGCGAGAGTATGGCCTCTCCCAAGGCGTGGGGTTTAGGGTTTGGGGTTTAAGGTTTAGGGTTTAGGGTTTCGGGTTTAGGGTTTAGGGTTTAGGGTTTAGGGCTTCATGTTCCGGGGCTTCAGCCGCTTGCAGAAGTTGCGCGCTTCTTTGCCTGTATACACAGTCGCCAAGCGGTTAGGGTTTAGGGTTTAGGGTTTAGGGTTTAGGGTCTAGGGTTTAACCCCTTGAAGCAACATTCAGAGGCAGGCAGCGTGTTTTTTTCTTAGGTTGCTCTTGGGCAGAGTGTCAGGCCTATACGCAAGCCTGGCGAACCCTACCCCCCGAACACTGCGCTCTGATTAAGGCACTGAAAGAAATCAGCTACCATCATCGAGGTACATCGTAGATGCTTATCCCATCCCTATCATCGTGGCTTAGGGTTTGGGGGTTTAGGGTTTAGGGTTCCCTAAACCCTAAACCCTGAACCCTGAACCCTAAGTCCTGAACCCTAAAATACGGCCTGGTCTGAGTTTTCGGGGCTGAACTTCTCGGATGGTGGGTGATTTCTCGGCGTGAGGGTTTGGTGTTTGCAAAGGTTCCGGGTTTAGGAGCTTATAACCCTAAACCCTAAACCCTAAACTTATATGGTTTCGAGCTTATGGTTTAGGGAGAAAGGGAGGGCGATGGGAACGGGAGGATGAAGGAGAGAGCGAGAGAGAGAGAGAGAGAGAGAGAGAGAGAGAGAGAGAGAGAGAGAGAGAGAGAGAGAGCAGCTTCACCTGGATCGCGGCACACAGGCGAGCCCTGCGCGAGGGGGGGCCACCCCTCATGCCCTGAAGAAGAAGGAAAGTAGAGGAAGCTAGAAAGCGAGAGAGAGAGAGAGAGAGAAAGAAAGAAAGAAACAACAACAAAAACACATACTAAATTCTACAAGTGAAAGCTGCTTGTCTTTTGTGTTTCTTCTTGGAAAAAATGGGGGCAGGCCTTCGCTGTCGTTATTTCAATCTCCGAATCTTTGCCAAGAGGTGCACAAGTTCAAATCTCATTGCCGCCACCTCACTGCTTTCCCCTTTGAGAAGAGGTAGTTTGCGACCTGATCCTAAACCTGAAATCACCTCTGACACGCCACAAGCCGTCTGCTTCCGCCACCCAACAACCTGCAACCCACACCTTGGAACTCTTGGTTTTGATCACCAGAAGCAGGGGTGGCCCCCAAATTCGTAGGAAGCTCGGGACCTAAATGCTCAGGGTTCACAGCTGCTCCCCCCAAGCCTGAAACAACATGTTGGGTTCAGAAAAAGGGGTTTGTGGTTCGTATACCCTGAATAGGATTTGTTGTTGTGTAGGACATATGACCCCAATTTCAGGGTTCATTCGGTGCCCAAAGAACGTGGGATGTTTAGGGTTTAGGGCGTTTAGGGCGTTTAGGGTTTAGGGTTGGCTCTTCTGCCGATGCCGACAGTTGAGAGCACGGTGGGCTTTGACCCCAAACCCTAAACCTTAAACCCGAAACCCAAAACTGTGAGCTCAAGCAAAAGAGTAGGACAACAAAAGTTGTCCCAAGATCCATGCCCCTCATTGTGAATCCCTGGTCTTCCCCGCCCACCCAACAACGAACACCTCAGAAGAAAGGAAGTTAGGGTTTTTTAGGTTTGGGGGTTTTCGAAACCTAACCCTAAACCCTAAACCCTAAGCCCTAAGCCCTAAGCCCTAAACCCTAAACCCCAAACCCCAAACCCTAAACCCTAAACCCTAAACCCTAAACCACTGTCCAGGTCTCCCCAGAACCTCCATCTTTACTCCGTGCCGCGGCCGCGTCAGCGTCGACGCCCGTTGCAGGTGCCTTTCTGAGGGTTTAGGGTTTAGGGTTTGGGGTTCAGGGTTCAGGGTTCAGGGTTCAGGGTTCAGGGTTTAGGGCTTGGAATTTAGGGCTTGGAGTTTTTGGTTGGAGAGGGGGGGGAGGTTAGGTGGTTTGAGAGGCTCTGGGTCGTTTGATGAGGCACCCACCGACCGCTAAGAGTCAGGGTGTGTGGGTGTTTGGGAGGGTTTGGGGTGGCCTTGGGAATGAGACTTGCTGGCTTTTCTCAGGGTTGCATGGGCCCTGAGACCGGGTCCCTTACCTTCTTTAACGGGTTCTGAAGCATGGGCCCTTGGGATGTATAGGGTATATACAGGGGGCATAGAAGGGGCCCCCTTTCAAGGGCCCACATTAAGGGACCATGTAACTACCCTCAGAGGCTTTGGGGTCCGGATTGGACGGGTTCAAGGAGTCTGGGGATTGACGGCTTGCGATCACATCGGCCGCATCGGAGTTCACAGGCTCGAGGAAGGTTCTTTTTTCCCCTCTCCGCCGAAGGCGGAGAGATCTGCCAACGAGCGCATTGTTTTGGATTTAGGAGTTTCAAGGATGTCAGATCCTGCTCTGTCCCAGTTGGCGGCACGTCTCCGCGCGCCCTCCGATGGAGGGGCGCTGAGGAAGAGCAGATCGGGCATCGACTTCAACCAGCAATTTCCAATGTACACCGTGCCGATTGAGGAGTTCCTCAAGCTTCAGGGGCTCAGGGCACACGAGGAGCAGAACCTGCAAGCTGTCTGCATAAGCTAGTGGACACCCTGCTTCCACGCGAATAAAAACCCTAAATCCTAAGACTAAAAGCTGTACCCGCAGCCCTAAACCCCTAGCAGTAGTAAGCCCTAAGCCCTAAACCCTCCTAACCCCCCTCCAGGAGATGCTGAAGACCGGTGGCCTCACTAAGTTTGAGGAATCCCTGGGCCGAGCTACCTGCTGGCAGGGAATGAGGGAATCAGGGCCCTATATATACCCTTGAAGGGATTATATCAAACCCCAAACCCTAAACCCCAAACCCCAAACCCCAAACCCTAAACCCTAAACCCTAAGGCTATGTTTGTGTCGCACCAGTGGCTTGGGAGCCGCCACCCCGACCCAGAGCACCAGCAGCTTCACATCTTGCAGGAGGCCCTGCTGCTGGGCGGCAAAGGAAGGGCAGGGGGTTTAGGGTTTAGGGTATAGGGTTCAGGGTATGGGGTTTTGGGGTTTAGGGTTTAGGGTTTGGGTTTAGGGTTTAGGGTTTAGGGTTTAGGGTTTAGGGTTTAGGGTTTAGGGTTTAGGGTTTAGGGTTTAGGGTTTAGGGTTTAGGGTTTAGGGTTTCCACGTTTTGTGGTTTGCGAATCCTTCTTCCTTGCTAGTGTTTTTGGACCCTATACACCTAAACCCAAAGTGCTGGACAATCCTGGCTACGACGCGCCGAACCCCCGAACCTCAAATCCTCAGCCCTACACTGGAATCTTAAACCCTACATCATACAATTGAACCCTATAAACCCTAAACCCTTGCACGCCTAGGAAAAACATCTTGTCCGGCAGCATACAAATTAGTATGCCCGTGGCGGCAGAGGCGACTCAGCGGACTCCGAGCGTCATGGGGTTTGGGGTTTCGGTTTAGCGTTTAGGTTGTACGTTTCAGAGGGCTCACAGGCTTCATAGGGGTTACTGTAGGGTTCATAAGGTTCAGGGTTTGAAGGATTTGAAGGGCTTTAAGGATTTGAAGGGTGTAGGGTTTAGGGTTTAGGGTTTATAGAGCTTAGAGGCTTTACGGGTTTCAGGGTGGTTTCAAGAGACAGCCTATGATTTCCCCGAAGATGGTCTACGGCCGACGCGCCTGTCCAACTGCGGCGAGCATGAAATCCAAGCCTCTCTACGTGACTGGGCGAGGTTTAGGGGCCTTGGGGGCTTGGGGTGTGGGGTTTCGGATCTGATACCCTAAACCTTAAACCCTAAACCCTAAACACTAAACCCTAAACCCCCCCAAAAGTTGCCCCGCACGGGACATGTTCAGTGCCCCTCCCAGGTCTGGTACGACTTCTTGTGCTGCCCACAGGATGGTTCAGCTCTCGCGAGCCAACACCGAGAGCAGGCGATACAGAGTATACCCTCCTACGTTGCCTCTTGGCCCAAGAGCTGGAGGGGTTTTAGGGCTTAGGGTTTAGGGTTTAGGGTTCGGGGTTTAGGGTCGGGGGCTTTTGGCTTAAGAGTTGGAGGGGTTTAGGGCTTAGGATTTAGGGTTTAGGGTCGGACGTTTAGGGTTTAGGGTCTTGATTGACGTTGTCTTTGAGTAGGAGCCGGGCGTTTTGGGGAGTTTAGAGGGTGTAGGCTCTTAAGCTGACTCTTGGCTTCAGAGTTGGGGAGTGGATTAGAGCTACGTGAGGATTCCCGAAAGTTAGCATAGGCCCTGCAAAAGGACCCCCCCCCCCCAAAAAAAAAAAAAAAAACAATAACAATAATATAGCCCTAAATACTTGGCTTGGAGGGTGAGGTTGCTCTCCATGCTTGAGCCTATAGTACAAACTCCAGAAAGTTGGAACATCCTTATCCCCATACCCCAAAAGGTAGACTCTAGGGAATCCCAGCTCGAATCATCCTTAAGCCATGCTCCAACTTTCTGATTGTATGTGATTGTCAAGGCCCTTCTCCCTAGCCCCTCTTATTGCAGCCAAGAAACATCTGTCCAGTGAATACAGAGCGGGTATTCAACATCATGTATGACCGCTCAGGCCGAATTTCAGGGATTAAAGTTTTGGGCTTAGGCTTTGTTTTGGAGGATACCTGTCAATGTGGAAGTTCAAACAAGCCTATCGAGGTACGCTCTGATTCTGGGTTTCAAGGCCGGCCAGAATGCAAGACCCCAAACGTCACCATCAATTATCATCTCTTCTGTATACTGCCTATTTCCTTTCACGAGAGACTACCCCAAGAATTGCATTCGAATTCAGATGGGGCCCTATATCATACAGGCACAGTGCGAGTTCTTCATCATTCTTTGCCCAGCACTGGAGCACGCAGAGCACCGGAAGATGCTTTCGCTTGAGACATGGGCTGAGAGAGGCGGCTGCGTGGGAATTTTCAAGTTTTGGCTCACAGGGTTTGGGTGTAGGGTTTGGGGGGGAGGTGTTCGGGTTTAGGGACAGGGTCTGGGTTGAGGGGTTTTAAGAGTCGTAGGGGTTTTAAGGGTTTAAGGGTTTAGGGGCTTTGGGGGTGTAAGGCATAAACCCTAAACCCTAAACCCTAAACCCTAAACCCTAAACCCTAAACCCTAAACCCTAAACCCTAAACCCTAAACCCTAGGGGTTTCTTCGAAGCAGGCTGGTGCCGTGCTGAGAAGATGGCGCAGGAACTCGCAGCTCGAACGGATGGCTACAGCATCGTCATCGTGACTCGCCCTAAACCCTAAACCCTAAACCCTAAACCCTAAACCCTAAACCCTAAACCCTAAACCCTAAACCCTAAACCCTAAAACCCTAAACCCTAAACCCTAAACCCTTAAACCCTAAGACCCTAAGACCCTAAAACCCTAAAACCCTCAAAACCCTCAAACCCTAAAAGCCTAAACCCCCAAAACCCTAAAACCCTTAAACCCTTAAACCCTTAAACCCTAAAACCCTAAACCCTTAAACCCTTAAACCCTAAAACCCTAAAACCCTAAAACCCTCCAAACCCTCAAACCCTAAAACCCTAAAACCCTAAAACCCTAAAACCCTAAACCTTAAAACCCTAAAACCCTAAAACCCTAAAACCCTAAACCCTAAAACCCTAAAACCCTCAAAACCCTCAAGCCCTCAATCCCTAAAACCCTAAAACCCTAAAACCCTAAACTGTAAACCCTAAAACTCTAAAACCCTAAAACCCTAAAACCCTAAAACCCTAAAACCCTAAAACCCTAAAACCCTAAAACCCTAAAACCCTAAAACCCTAAAATCCTAAAACCCTAAAACCCTCAACCCTAAAACCCTAAAACCCTAAACCCAAAACCCTAAACCCTAAACCCTAATCCCTAACCCTAAACCCGAGTTCAAAGCCCCCTGGAAGCCCAAAGGCTTTTGCCCTGAAAACTCCGGCAGGAAGAAAAGGCTTCTCTGCGAAAAGCCTTGACAGGTCTTTTAGGGTTTAGGATTTGAGGTTTAGGGTTTCTGACGAGCCCTAAACCCAAAACCCTAAACCCGACACCCTAAACCCACCCTAAACCCTGCACGCCATGCTGCGATGCTGAGGAGAGTGCCACGCATGCCGTGCTGGTCTTCGACATTCAAAGATCGAAAGATGCGCCGGGGACTGGGAAATACACCTGGGAAGCAGACCGGGCGACGATTGGGCCCGTGATGGTGCAATTGGTTTGGAACAAGCTCCTGTTTTTTCTTGAGCGAGGCAGGCAAACCCCCTAAACCCTCAATCCTGAACCCTAAGCGCTTCAGAAAGGGGGAGGGGGATCTAACCCTAAGGGTCCATGTACCTTATTGTATACTTGAGCCCCAGAGTCTCCCCAGATAGGTGGTACTTTAAGGCCCAAGAACTCCCTAGTTAGGTACATGGACCCTTAGGGGAATGAAGTTTCGTTTTAAGGCTGGCAAGTTGGTAGGTCCAGTTTAGGGTTTAGGGTTTGGGGTTTAGGGTTTAGGATTTAAGGTTGACCACGGGCCAGGTGACTTGCACAGGTATCGGTTCCTGCTGAATGAGCAAATGCCACGCTGCTTCCAAGGCCTTAATGTCGAGGCCATCGATGCTTGGCGCAGGGTGCATAGTCTGAACTCTGTTTGTGGAGTTCTTCAATGCCCCCGATCACCTAAACCCTAAACCCTAAACACTAAACTAACCGCATAGACGTTTTAACTCGACCACGACCAGAAAAGGACGGCTTGGTTCCAGGCTTCGCCACGCGTATTGACCCCTTCGAGGACCCCCGCGGCTTCATGCTGGCAAGGTTCCTGCATCTCGGATGCCTGTAACCCTAAACCCTAAACACTAAACCCTAAACCCTAAACCCCTAAACGCGAAACCCTAAACCCTGAGCCCTAAGCCCTAAACCCTAAACCCTAAACCCTAAACCTAGTGTACCCTTTTTCTTTATTCTCTTGCCAAGGGGTCAAGATTCTTTATTCTCTTGCTAAGGGGTCAAGATCCCTGTAAAATGAGCTTGTTAACATAACGGGTCTAAGCCCTTAACCCAAAACACGCTTAACATTGGTCCGCCCCCAAAGCCCCTAAGCCCTCAACCCTAAACTCTAGACTTAAATCCCAGGTATCAGAATGGCTTCCGAAGCGCCGTCGAGCGTGACGCTGCGGGCTGGTCTCCGCTTTGCTACGCAGCCGCGACTTTCCTGGCGCAATGGTACAGCTTGATATGTATGTATGTGTGCATGCATGTACGTATGTATGTGGAGGTATCTACATACATACATACATACATACATACATACATACATACATACATACACACACAAAAGGTGTCTGTGTACATGTACACATTACATATTCATATACAAATTTCCATGTACACACACACACACACTTTTTCATTTCAATTGCCCCCCCCCCCCCCCCCCCCCCCCCCCCCCGCCACTACCATGGCGGCATCTCTGCACCCTGTCCGAGGATTGTCAGGAGAGTGATGCGGAATTCGCAGATTCGTTTCTGAGTGTTGCAGGTCGTTTGCAACCTCCTATACCAACTACAAGAATTCCAACAAGACGGAGTGCCAGAGACTCCCAAATCCGAAGCCAACCGCACGAACTCCGCATTCCAAAACACGTCAAGAACTCCAAATCCACCTCGCCCACGTCCAGATGTTACAGGACTTTGGGGTGTATGGTACCGCTTCCTGCCCCCACCCCAACCCCCTCCCCGCAGGTACATCATCTTCAGAAATTCCATCTTCTGTTTTCCCCTTTTTTTCGTTTTTCACGGTGCATGTTGCTGAACAGGTTGGCTTACTTGATCCCAAAACCGCGTGGGCTTCGAATCTGTTTAAACAGGACAGCTAACGATGCGGAGTACACGATGCAGCATTCCTGCCATGCCCACTTGACATCTGCCCCCGCCCTAAAACATGATGTTGTATAAGTCGCATTGCAAAATTATGTATCCCATCAGCGTGTCGTTAGACATCCATGGATATGTGATGCATATACAGTCTTTCACTTCAGAATATGCAAGACCCCGAAAAACTCATCTACAGCAGCCTTAGCCATCGTTTGATTTTGTTTAAGCAGATTGCCACGCTGCTCTCATGCCTATTCTTCCCGGAGATATTCCCGCCTTGTAAAGTCATGCTGCCTTGCAAGCCCTCTCAGTGTCCCCCCCAGGTGAGCGGCAATGCAGAGATAGTGCAGGCCTTGCTGGACAGTCGAGCTGATCCAAACGACGCCATCATGAAGGCGAAGAAGGAGATACAGATGCCCAGGCGCCTGTCTCTTGGTGCTAGCCCCTGTGGTACCCTTTTGCCCCTTTTTGAGGGTTCAAGGATTCCTGTTATAAGTTAGTTGTAAGTAACGAAAAAGGGCACCCGTATTCAAGAAGATGGCTACTGAGCTACCAAGATCTGCTGCCTCCCTGGCCGCCATCTACCATGGCAACGCCGCCCTTCGCACGCTCCTGGAGGCCGGAGCCCGGGCCAATGCCCGTGACAGCATCGGCGCAACCGCCTTGCATTGGGCAGCTCTGTCCAACAATGGGGAGGGTGTGCGGCTTCTGTGCTCCGCCGGCGGTGACGGCACCCTGTGCTGCTTTCCGAGCATGACGGCCCTGCAAGTGGGGTGCGCCTGCGCCTCTGTAGAGGCCATGCGAGTGCTGATGTCCCAGCCGACCACAGCGAACCTCCGGTTTTGCCTGCACTTCTCCGTGATCTTTCCTGGGGGCTACGCTGGGACCATTGGATTCTTAGTAGCTGAGTGAGTACACTTTACGCCTTTACGCTTTTTGGGATACTCTAGGCCCCTATAGAACTGAAAGTGTACACTTGTTGGGGGGCTTATGAACTCTGAACCCAAAACCCCAAACCCTAAACCCTAAACCCTAAACCACATGAACTCAAGGATTGCTGATAGAGGCCAGGGCTGACGTCAATGAGCAGTTCAGCACGCGCCTTGGCCAGGACATGTGGTGGCCGGCCACTTGGTAGGCCAGTGGTGCCCTTTGCCCTTTTTCTGGTTCTGGGTACCCTAAACCCTAAACCCTAAACCCTAAACCCTAAACCCTAGACCCTTATTGTAGTATGACTACTGGGCTACGAAGGTCATGAACCTGGCAAGTGTCCGGCACAGGATCAGCCCTTCGAGGCTCACCATGCTGGCCTACCACCACTCTGGGGCCACCCCGCTGATGTTCCTTAGGGGTACCTCGCAATAGTTTTTTTTTTTTTTTTTTTTTTTTTTTTTGTTTTTTTTGCTTAAAAATCATTTTTTTGGGTACTATAATTCCTAAGAAACAGCAAGCATGTTGATGTTTGCTGGGCTTCTGAGTACAGTGTAGGTTTAGCATCCTAAATGGCTACTTCGAAGCAACCTCCTTGTTGCTGGCCGCTGGGGCCAGGGTGGACCTCCGAAACTCGCGGAACCGGACGGCCGTAGATCTCGCGAGGGCCGTGCGAGCGCCACCTCTGCTGCTTGCAAGCCTCCAAAGCAGGCAGGCGACAGAGTCGGTAGGGGGACTGGTCGAAGACAGTCCCGACGACGTAATCTCTTTGTGAAGTATAGTTAGACCCTTTAAGATATTTTCATACTGAGCCTAAAGGGCTCACGTCCTCTTGGTCTCTTGTCTATGCATGTTCTATATCAGAGGGCCCTTAAAGGGTCCAACCTTTGTACATTCAATCTCCCTTCAATTGCCGCGCCCAGCTCCGTATTTGGAGGCAGCGGTTGCTTTTTACAGCGGGCTGCGCCAGCTTTCGGCCCACTTATGGCCCGGGCGACTCAACCAGTCTGTTGGGGTTTTTAGGGTTCAGGGTAGAGGGTTTAGGGGTTTGGGGTTTAGGGTTTGGGGTTTAGGGTTTAGGGTTTGGGGTTTTGAGTTTAGGGTTCATGGGTGGTTGGCGGCATTTCTTTCTTGGCCCTCCAGCGTGGACCACCCGATAAGCCACAATTTCCTTGCACACCCATTCCCAGACATCATCGCCGAGCCCAAAAAGTAAACCCTAAACCCAGAAACCCCCAATGACTTAAAATCTTAAGCCCCCCAGCCACAATTTTCCTTAAACCCTACAGGCCTTTAAACCTCTAAACCTCTAAACCTTGCAATCCGTAAGCCCTCTTCCAATCCCCTTGACCTAAACCTTAGACCTTAAACCCTAAACCCTAAACCCTACACCCTAAACCCTAAACCCTAAACCCTAAACCCTAAACCCTAAACCCTAAACCTTGAAGCCCGAAACCTACCCAACGCCGGCTTCAGGGCCATCCGTGCTTCCGGGTGAGATTGCGCAGGCTGGGGAGGGAGTTTCGGGTCTCGGGGTTTAGGGTTTAGGGTTTAGGGTTTAGGGTTTAGGGTTTAGGGTTTAGGGTTTAGGGTTTGGGCTTCTAGGCTTCAGGGGTTCAGGGCTTAAGGGTTTGAAGGCTTCAGGGTTTAGGGTTTCGGGGCTTTAAGGTTTAGGGTTTGAGGGCTTTTAGGGTTTAGGGTTTGAGGGCTTGAGGGTTTGGAGTTTTAGGGCTTTCGGGTTTTGGGGTTTAAGGCTTTGGGGCTCAAGTCTGAATGTTTTCAGGGTTGACCGGCTCAGAACCTAGTTAAAGCTCAGGATTTTAGAGTTGAACTGGGGTTTTAGGGATTCAGGGGTCAGGGTTCAGTGTTTCTGTCTAGGTAGGTCTTTGGGCTTTTGGGATGTTCGGGGTGTAAGCGTTTGAGGCGCTACCCTAAACCCTAACCCTAAAAACTCGAAACCCTACAACCCTAGAACCCTAAACCCAGAACCCTAAGCCCTAAACCCTAAACCCTAAGGGTTTTAAGGGGGTTTTCGGGTTTCGGGTTTCGGGTTTCGGGTTTCCCTAAACCCTAAACCCTAAACCCTAAACCCTAAACCCTAAACCCTAAACCCTAGACCGGGCTGATGCACGTACTACAAGGGAATGCTTAGGGTTATCCAGGCTTGAGGGATGCCCCGATATGGGGTTTTCCGAAGTTCAGGGGTGTTAGGGTTTAGGGTTTAGGGTTTAGGGTTTAGGGTTTAGGGTTTAGGGTTTAGGGTTTAGGGTTTAGGATTGTTGGGACACTGATTATAAGGAATCCCTTATCTACGTAAACCCCCGTATGGGCTTCGGGGCTATTGAAACCCTAAAGCAGAAGCCCCAAACTGCACTACAGGGTTTGCCTAGGGTGAAGCCAGGGAGTTTAGGGTTTAGGGTTTAGGGTTTAGGGTTTAGGATTTAGGGTTTAGGGTTTAGGGTTTAGGGTTGCGATGGTTGTCCGCTCCGGTGTCGTCACGTCGTGCGAGGTATCCGAGAAGACTGCGCCGGAGTCCATTGCGAAGCAGAAGGCCCCGCTCTCCACATGGTTGCGTTAGGGTTTAGAGTTTAGGGTTTAGGGTTTAGGGTTTAGGGTTTAGGGTTTAGGGTTTAGGGTTTAGGGTTTAGGGTTTAGGGTTTAGGGTTTAGGGTTTAGGGTTTAGGGTTCAAGGCTGCAAGCACCCCCCCCGAAGACCCACAGCCCTGAAGTGCAAATCCCTCAATTTCGGCCCCTTCTGGGTACACTAAATCATAGGGGCCGGCTTAGCAACACCGAAAAGGACCGTAAGATAGAGAAGGGCCCAACTCTGCAGATGCTTGATTCGGTGGGCCCAAAGCCTGACGCCTAAACCCTAAACCCTAAACCCTCTACCCTCTAAACCCTAAACCCTACACCCTAAACCCTACACCCTACACCCTACACCATAATCCCTAAACCCTAAACCCTAAACCAAACCCTCACCCTAACCCGGACAGAGGATGGCGAGGGTATGCTGGGTGCGGCTACCCTGCCCCTGCCCCAACTCGAGCTGGAGAAGCGGTGGTGCGACCCGGTCGATGGCCGTTTAGGGTTTAGGGTTGAAGGTTGAGGGTTGAGGGTTGAGGGTTTGGGGTTTGGGGTTTGGGGTTTAGGGTTTAATGGATGCTTGGGGGAGTGTATTCTCATTCCCTCAGCTTCAATCCCTATGAAAGTTTAGGGTTTAGGAGCACAGGAATCTAATCTCTTGGGGGAGCGTATTCTCTATGAACTACCCAAAAAAGTTGCCAGCATGATTACCCCATGTCTTCCTGATACAAGAAGAGGGACACTACCAAACTCCATTCCAATTCTGCAGTATATGGGCTACTTATTTGTTCCCTCTCCCCTCTCCCCTCCCCCCTTTCCACTTTCCCCTTTCCCCTTTCCCCTTTCCCCTTTCCCCCCTTTTTCGTTCCCTTTCCCCCCCACCCTCCCAAACACAAATCATGACAAACGGACTTCAGCTGAAGGCCTCCACGCCAAGACCCCAGGCCCTAAAACTTGAGTCAGACCAAAGGCAAGACACTACTATAGGGTCGGAGCAACTGCTAATCCTATCTCCTCATGGTCCCTTTATAGATCTGCTATAATAACCTCCAACACCCTACTGAAAATTCCTTAAACCCTAAACCCCAAGCCCTAAACCCTAAACCCTAAACCCTAAACCCTAAACCCTAAACCCTAAACCCTAAACCCTAAACCCTAAACCCTAAACCCTAAACCCTATTTTATTTCTTAAGGCCCCTATGTTGCACCTAAATCAGCCGATGGAAAGGCTCTTTGTCCTACAGCCTAGGCAGCGGCATGCAGCGGACCAGTGCCATGATTGCCGCCGAGACGCTGGGGCCGACAGGGATGACCTCATAGGGTTTAGGGTTTAGGTTTTGTTGGGGTTTAGGGTTTAGGGTTTAGGGCTAGGGTTTTGGGTTTTGAGCTGACAGTTCAGGGCTGAGAGTTTTGGAGGGCTTCGACTTGGTCCTGAAGGGAGACTTTGTTGGGGAAGGTGGTCCAGGGGCATTTTTGTGCCCGAATGCGTACCGGAGGGTTCCCGTTTGAAGACGTGGGGTTCCAGGGGTCAGGGAGTTGACGTGGCGTCGTGCGCTTGTGTTGGCAAAGCGTTCGGAAGCGTCCGAGTGCTGAAAGAGAGAAGGAGAGATGAGAAAGAGACATGAGAGAGAGAGAGAGATGTGAGAGCTAGTGAGAGCGAGAGATACGAGAGCGAGAGAGAGAGAGAGAGAGAGAGAGACAACAGAGATAGCAGAGAAGAAAAAATCAGCGAGAGAGAGAGAGGGAGAGAGGGAGAGGGAGAGATAAAACATAGAGAGACAGAGATGAAGCAGAGGTGCGAGAGCGACAAGAGGGAGATAGGAATAAGATAAGAGACAGAAGAGAGACGGGGAACGAGAAGAGATTAGAGAGCGATGAGAAGAGAGAGATCGAGAGAAAGAGAGAGAGAGAGAGATAGACAGCGAGGGACTTGAGAGACAAGAGAAATGAGAATAAAGGCGAGAAGTAAGAGAGACAGATCACGGAGAGGTGAATAGGCGATAAGTGGGGAGAAAAGGGAAAGAAGAGAAGCACAAGAGAGAGAGCTAAGCGACAGGTGAGAGATAAGCCGGAGAGACAAGAGAAAGAAGAGAGAGACACAGAGAGAGGGAGCAGCGAGAGAGCAGCGAGAGAGCAGCGAGAGAGAGAGAGAGAGAGCGGGAGAGAGAGGGAGAGAGAGAAAGAGCGAAAGAGAGACAAAAGCAAAGAAGAACAAGAGACGTGGGAAGAGAGATGTCCTAAACCCTAAACCCTAAACCCCAAACCCGAAGAAGGATAAGACACTGCACTTCGGATCTCGTGTCGTGCAATCTTTATTTCGGCTTCGTGGCTCCTCTCAGTGACTTTTTCGCATCATGGGAGCAACCCCCACACCTGGATACTCTACACCCCAAGGGTTTAAGGTTTAGGGTTTAGGGTCCCTAAACCCGGAAAACCCTAAGCCACCAACATGCGTCCGAAGGCAGGAGGTCGCCTACTACGAACACCTCGTGCCTAGATAGCCTCTACGACCCTGGGGGCCCAAACCCAAAACCCCATCCCCAAACCCCAAACTCCAAACCCTAAACCCAAAACCCTAAACCCTAGACCATAAGCCCTAAACCCTGTTTGGGGTGTAGAGTTTCCCCAAACCCCAAACCCTAAACCCTAAACCCACTCAGGGCCCTCCCTGACGAGTCTGCAGCCTACACCCTAGACTCTAAGTTCTCCAAAACCCTAAACCCAGACCGCCAGTTGAAATGCGGGAGTTTCCGAACATGGAGGGCCCTTGTAAGGGGCTGCCTATAAGGAATATAGGTCTTTTGTTGTTTGCTTTGTTTTTTTGTTTTTTGGAGGGGTGGTATAGTATACTATAATGATTAGAGGTGTTTTTTGCAGGGATATCTCGCATTGCCCTGGACCTAAACCCTAAACCCTAAAACCCTAAAACCCTAAGCCCTAAAGCCCTAAACCCTAAAACCCTATTTTGGGAACTGCCCATGTCTGAGGCTCTACGCAGAGCAGCCCGACGTGACCTTTGACGAAGTGGTGACGGCGCGAAAGTTGCACCTCGGCCCAACAGGGTTTAGGGTTTAGGGTTTAGGGTTTAGGGTTTAGGGTTTAGGGTCTATAAGGTTTAGTTTAGGGTTAAGGTTTCGGGTTTAGGGCTTTAGGGTTGAGGGTTTAGGGCGCGAGGTCGTACGATTTCGCTGCGCCTGTCCTACGTTTAGGGTTTAGGAAGTCCGGTTTCGGGTTTCAGGTTGAAGAACCCCGAACCTATTTCTTCGCAGGTGACCACCCCCGTGTTTGATTTTGGGAATCTGAGGTTAGGGGTTCTCACTGACTCATTAAGGGGTTCAGGAAGGTTTAGAGTTTAGCGTCTCTAAGGTCACTGCTAAATCAAGAGCACTCACCTTCAGCATGAGATGGTTTTTAAGTTTAAGGATTTGTGTTTTAAGACGTCGGGTGTGCCTCCAAGCCCGTAATCCTACAACCCAACCCACAGTGTCCCGCTTATGCCGAGGGAAATGTACATGAGCCAGAATGCATAAACACATAACATATATGTATATATAATAGCCTTAAGGTGCATGGCTACCCCGATGAATACTGCCCGACACCCCTAACTTTTATCCCTAAACCATAAACCCTAAGCCCCGAAACCCTAAACCCTAAAACCTAAACCCTAAATCCTAAACCTTAAACCCGAAACCCTAAACCCTAAACCCTAAACCCTAAACCCTAACCCTAGAAACGGGAGCCCTCGAAGCCCTGAATGAAGACCAGCTCAGGAAGACACGGCAGCACAAGCTACGAGAGACACTCGGCCTGCAAGGCATGGGTCGGTTTAGGGTTTAGGGTTGAGGGTTTAGGGTTTAGGGTTTAGGGTTGAGGTTATTGAAGCCTTTTGTGCTTCCGGCTCTCAACGACTCAGGAAGCCAGGTCCAACCAGGAAGCCAAAAGGTGAAGAAAAGGTTAACCTGCAGGGTTTAGGGTTTGAGGTTGAGGGTTGAGGGTTTAGGGTTTAGGGTTTCAGGTTTAGGGCTTGGGTTTGGCGTTTCGGGTTTCGGGTTTCGGGTTTAGGGTTAGGGTTTGGGGTTTGGGGTTTGGAGTGTGGGTATAGGGTTAAGCGGGTCTTCCCTGTAGGGTTCAGGGTTTAAGCGGCTTTGTTTGGGAGGTACACCGGCAACGCGACACCTCCTTCCGAACCCACCTTCAACCCCTAAACCCTAAACCCCAAACCCCTAAACCCGAAGCCCTAAACCCTAAACAGACGCTTGATGAATACCTTCAGGCGCTTTTGGGAGGGCAGGTAAACCGCAAGCCCTATAAACCCTGAGCCCTGCTGTAAGCCCTGAACCCTAAGCCCTGGCCCCAAACCCGAAACCCTAAACCCTAAATCTTAAACCCTAAACCTTAAACCCTAAACGCTAAACCCTAAACCCCAAACCCTAAACCCTAAACGCTAAACCCTGAACCCTAGACCCTAGACCCTAGACCCTAGACCCTAAACCCGAAACCCTAAACCCTAAACCCTAAACCTTAAACCCTAAACCTTAAACCCTAAACCCTAAACCCTAAACGCTAAACCCTAAACCCCAAACCCTAAATCCTAAACGCTAAACCCTGAACCCTAGACCCTAGACCCTAGACCCTAAACCCTAAACCCTAAACAGTAAACCCTAAACCCTAAACCCTATACCCTAAACCCTAAACCATAAACCCTAAACCCCAACCCGCGGGCCCGCGCCACAAAGGATGCGCTTCATGCTGCTCCCCGGCAGCACGCGGCTCAACGCCTGGCGTGCCTCCATGGTCATCACTGCAGCTTGGCGTTTAGGGTTTAGGGTTTAGGGTTTAGGGTTTAGGGTATAGGGTTTAGGGTTTAGGGTTTAGGATTTGGGGATTAGGGTTCGGGGTCTAGGGTTTCTGAGTTTAGAGTGTTTTGGGGTATTCGGTTGTACGGGTTCAGCACTGAGCCCTACAGACTTCCCATTTGAAGCAGCCAAGCCCTACTTAACCTTCCCCTTGCTCCAGAAAACACAAGCCGAAGATTAGCGGATTAATTCGGCGTTGGTGGGCTGGCTTCGAGGTCACAGCAATGGAGCAGCTAGAACCTACCGGTTCTTAGTGGGGAAGCACGGAAGTAGGTAGAATTTCTTGGAGGGTTTAGGGGGATAGAAGCCACCCAATACCTGCATTCCCGGCTGGGAAGAACGAGGCTAAACTTTGTGGGAGCGGGTAAGGTTGTGCGAGACGTGTTCAGGGGGAGGGTTCCATTTACAAGGGTTGGGCAAAGCCCAGAACAGCATCAGAGACAACCATCCTAAACCCTGAGCCTTAAACCCTAAACCCTCAACCCACACTGTGGCACAGCAGACGTGGCCAACGGTCATGGGACTTATGGGGAGGAGGCCTCCTTCCGGCCCCCCCTCCCCCAAACTTCTCGGCCGTCCAGGTCCTTCTCGCCGACGCTCGCCTCAATTTCGGGGACGGGCGGTATCCCTGAACCCTGAACCCGAAATTTAAACCCTAAACCCTGGGGGATGTGGGTGAAGCAAGAGGCTTACTTGGAGGTTCTTGGTACTTAGTACCACAAGTAGAACTGTACTTCGAACCCGCATTCTAGCCCCATTAATGTTGGACTGCTTTTAGTATAAGGAGGGTCTATAATCACAAGTTTCGAAAATTTATTCAGCGAACCGAGTTTGTTCAGGGTACCCGCTATTATCACAAGTTTTTCCGGACGTTTTTTTTTTTTTTTTCAAGGGTTTGTGTTTGGGGTTAAGAGCTTTCGCAGTAAGGCTTGAAGCCCTGAGGGCTTGGGCTCCAGGAACCTTCAAGAGCCAGAGCGCGGAGAATCCAGAAATCTAAGCCCGGCCAATCCCATGTAAAGCCTAATGGAAATTCATTACGAAACGAGGCCCCAAACAAATTTTGTGATAGGTAGCCCACGGGCCGGTCAGACTGTTTTTAGTAAGTTTGTCTGGCTACCCTCTATAATACCAAGTTTTTTTTCGGATGATTTTTTTTTGAGGGTTTGTGTTTTGGGTTAAGGGCTTACGCAGTAAGGCTTGAGGCCCCAGGGCCTTGGGCTCCAGGAATCTTAAAGGCTGGAAAGCTTCAGGCCTTGAGGTCCTAAAGGCTTGAGGCCCTGAGGGCGGTTCCCCCCCCCCCCCCCCAATCTGTTTGGGGGGGTCGCCGGGCCACGCGTTCATAGAGGGTCCAAATTTGTTTGGGGGGGGGGCCCCATACTAAAGACAGTGCAACATTAGTGCACTCAACGGCTTAGATCTGAGTTATAGCTACACTTTTATTGGGATACTAACTACTAACTACCCTGAACCTCCAAGTAGGGTGTAGCATTCCGCGCTTAGGCCTTCTCTTCTCTGGGGATATGGTCCGACCGAAGCTTTTCATTTCCGAGATCCCCAGTAGTGCACCTCTCACCCTCGTTTTCCCACCATCTTTTGCTTTGATGTAGGGTTTAGGGTTTCGGGTTTAGGGTTTATTTGGATCCCTTCAGAAACTAGGGAGATTCGTCAGAGGCTTGCAACGGTCATGCTTCCTGAAGACCAAAACCCGCGGCCAGTAAGAGTTCGAAGGCTAAGCTTGTTGGGGGTTTAGCAAAAGCATTGGTTCCTTAGGGGCCCGTCGGAAAAAGCCATGTTTCCCAAATCCTACAACCCTACTTCCTACACCTCACCCTAGGTAGAAATTGGTCTTCAGCATGAGCTTATTTTCGGGGCGTTGAAGTTCAGCAGGTCCTTAGAATGCCTTGCACGAAACAGGAGTTTGAAACATGCACTTTGATGGCAGGTCCTCTCCGCACCGCTTGAGATGGCTTTCAGCTACAGCCAGCTCATCTATCAGTTCTACTGGGCCTGGGGGGGGGGTGGGGAGCAAGGGGGAGGGCGCCGAGCACCTCAACGCCCTACATCCGTAAAGCCCAGAACCCCAAAGCCGTAAAAAACCAACACCACAAACCCCGCCCCAAAACCGCCCCAAACAAGCCCTGAATCCTCATACAAGCTTATTAACGGAAAGCCCAGAGAGTTTGTGGATTTGGGTTTGGGGCCGAGTTGAAGCTTCCGTTTAGGGCTGAGGAGTCGGGTTTTTTTGCATTGAGGGTTTTAGGATTGAAAGGTGTAGGCGTTAATTTGGTTCCAGGACGTAGGATTTACGGTTTAGGGTATTAGAGAGAGGCGGGTGGGATGGTTGGTTGCCCGTCTTTGATGATGGAGGTGTCGAAGCTGATCGACATACTCTTCTGGCTGGAGACGTGGAAAGCACCCAGCTAGGGACAGACTCGAACCCCAAGACACCTTAGCTCAGGGATCCAAAGAGCGAGGGCGCCTAAACCCTAAACCCGAAACCCTATCAAGCCTTACATCCCTTTGGGCCCACAAGGGATAGGAGTGCTATGTACGAGCACAAGGGTTTGCAAGAGGTCCCATGAGACTCTTGGTTATTCCGCGATGTGTCCTAAACCCTAAACCCTAAACCCTAAACCCTAAACCCTAAACCCTAAACCCTAAACCCTAAACCCTAAACCCTAAACCCTAAACCCTAAACCCTAAACCCTAACAAGGACATGATCATCAGCTTCAACGTGGCCACCATCTCCCATGGCAGGCCAGGGTGTCTTCCAAGCCCTGCTTGTCTCCAAACCCTCGAACTACTCTACACGTGCATCTAGAAATATCTATGCGCATATACGTATATATATATATATACATATATATACACACATATATATATCTGTATATATATACATACATGCGCATGTATATATATATATACAGAGACAGAGAGCGAGAGAGAGAGAGAGAGAGAGTATGATGCTGTTTGCAAAAGGATGCCTACAAGTTTCATTGACTTGTGGCCCCGCCTACCTCGTGTATAGGGCTCTGAGCTTCGGGTGTGTGTGCGTGTGCGTGTGCGTGTGCGTGTGCGTGTGCGTGTGCGTGTGCGTGTGCGTGTGCGTGTGCGTGTGCGTGTGCGTGTGCGTGTGCGTGCGTGCGTGCGTGCGTGCGTGCGTGGGTGTGTGTGTGTGTGTGTGTGTGGACCGATGCCGCAACCGCCACTTCGTAACCCTAAATACCCTAAATCCCGCAACAAGCCGATATATTGATTACTATTATATATATACACATATTCATAACAACATGTGAGAAGAGGGGGTCAAGCAGCGAGCCAAATCGATCACACGTAGAGTTTTTGTAGGACGCCCCACCCCCCACCCCCCATGCGAGAAGAGATCAAACTGAGAGGAGGAACGCAGCAAGGACACCCTGAACCCTAAACGAAAAAGGAGAGCGGGGGCGGGGGCGAGGCAAAACAAAAAATGCATTAACAAAAGGTATATAAAAAAAAACATATATATATATATATATATCTGTACATATATATATATATGCACTGTAGAAGGACATGTGGAGTGTTCACGGCTCCCATACTCAACGCGCTGGGAGGATGGAGACAAATCGCAACGTCTTGGCCAAGAACTATGCCACGCATCTGCATTTAAGGGGGGGGGGCGGGGAAGGGGAGGGGGGTTTAAGGTTCAGGGTCTGGCGTTTAGGGTTTAGGCTTTAGGGTTCTGTTGGGGGGGGGGGGGGGGGGGGGGGGGGGGGGGGGGGTAATGTGGCAGGTAAACCTGAAGCCCTAAACGCACATACAACCCCTAGTACCCCCAAAACCCGAATAACCTCAAACCCGAAACCCTAGACCCTAAACCCAAGTACCCCAGACCCTAAAGAGCCCAAGCAAGTCTGCCCAGCTCTGTTAGCAGGCGAAGTCGTGGCTTCTCCCTGACTTCCTCATCAACTTCCCTTGGGACGATGTTCTTCAGGATTTCTCGACTGCCGGCTTGCAGGGTTTAGGGTTTATATAGGGTTTAGGGCTTAGGGGCTTTTGGGGTTTAAAGTTTAGGGTTTCGGGTTTAGGGTTGGGGCAATTGTAATCGCCTCAACAACGGGGTGTAGCATGTGCATTGCATTTAAGGAAAGGGATCACTACACACGTCATGAGTTGAGGAGGTATGGCAACTAATCGGAGGGCTTGGAGGGGGTTTGAAGGGGCCTACAAGAGTCTCAGAAGGGGCCAGAGCCTGGAACCCCGCAGCATCGGATTGCGGTCCTCGGGTTCGGGCAGGTCCCACCACCCTAAACCCTAAACCCTGAACCCAAAACCCTAAACCCTAAAGGCATGGGGGAGGGTGAGGGGAAGGGATAGGAAGTAAGGACGGCGGCACACCCTTGGCCAAAAGCAGGCGAAAGCATAGATTTAGTTGCTTAAGCGGGCAGGGGGGGGGGTTGCGGGGGCCTCAGCTGTTACCTTCATTTCACCCTCAACCCTAAAAGCCCTGGAAGCCCTAGAAGCCCTAGCAGCCCTAGAAGCCCTAGAAGGCCTAGAAGCCCTAGAAGCCGTATAAGCCGTATAAGCCCTATAAGCCCTATAAGCCCTATCAGCCCTTTAAGCCCTATAAGCCCGAGACCCCCAAAGGTTGCTAGCAGCCCTCAACCCTCAACTCCATTGTCGCATCCCTTGAAGCCACATACAACCCTGCACACCCTGGACTTTTAGGGTTTAGGGGGTTTAGGGGTTTAGGTGTTTAGGGGTGTAGGGTTTTCGGGTTCAGGGTTTTGGGGGAAAGGGCTTGGGGTTTAGGGTTGGGGTTTAGGGTTTTTGGGTTTAGGGTTTTAGGGTTTAGGGTTTGAGGGTTTTGGGGTTTTGGGGTTTTGGGGTTTTGGGGTTTTGGGGTTTTGGGGTTTTGGGGTTTAGGGTTTAGGGAACCTTTAAAGGGGTTTTTGGAGTCTCTCCAGAAGGAGTCGGAACCCCGATGCAGGAGCACGGGAAAACCCGGAAGATTGCGAAGATCCTGAAGCTTCCTAAGGCAGCCGATAGTTGGGGCCTACACTTAGGGTTTAGGGTTTAGGGTTTAGGGTTTAGGCTTTGGGTTGGCCTCATGGGGGGTAGGTACCTGGGAAACCTTAGGGAAGGCTTCGGAAGCCCTTGTAGGGAACATTGGGCCCTCCGTTTAAGGACCCTATAACAAAAGCAGCGGCGCCTCGATTTGCCATGCAGGGTCTGGTGTGGGGTTTGGGGGGGGGGGGGGTTATGGATGTGCGTTTCAGGGTTGGTTATGGATGTGCGTGTCAGGGTTTCTTCAGTCTTTTTTTCAGGTTTTGTGGGGACATTGGGGTTTGGGCAGGTGGGGCGGCTTAATGGTTGTACACGCCGGCTTGGGGCTGTTCGCACTGGGGTTTGCTCAAGTCCAACAGCCGCAAGGACCTAAACCCCGACTCTTCTCAATCCGCCTTGTATTGAAGTAGAGCCTGTCTGCTTATCGGCCCCCAAAGGCCACCCAAAATGAAGAAATGCACATCTATAGCCCTACATAAACCCACCAAGAGCAGGAATCTAAACCCACCTTCATACGGCCCCTTAACCTTGTCAGCGGCCTCTGAAGTATGGATCCTCTTGTTCATGGCCAATGACCCCTCAGCTTTTCAAGGGGGCTCCAAAACTCCAAGAGCCGCAAATGCCTAAACCCCGACTCTTCTCAACCTGCCTTGTATTGAAGTAGGGTCTGTCTGCTTCTTGGTCCCAAAAGGCCACCCAAAATGAATAAATGCACATCTATAGCCCTACATACACCCACCAATAGCAGGAATCTAAACCCACCTTCATACGGCCCCTTAACCTGACATGAAGTATGGATCCTCTTGTTCATGACGAATGACCCCTCAGCTTTTCAAGGAGGCTCCAAAAATTCAGGACCCACACATTCTAAGGGCCCCTGTAGATACATTGGGAAAACACCTCTACGGTAAACACGTAAACCCCTAAACACCATAAGCCCTATGACAACCTCCTAGGTAGACCCCAACAGGGCCTATGAACCCTGGAAGCCCCACGCCCTCACAGGATAACCTTGTTTGCCCTGAAAAAACCCGACTAGACCCTCAACCCTAGACCCCAGAAAAATTATCAAACCACAACCCACCTCCCTCAACCCTAAACCATAGATCTTCACCCAAGAGTTTGGGAGGTCTTCCGGGTGACGCGCTTGTTGCGGGCGGGGGCCTCAGCGACCACAATGAGACCTGTTACACCGGTCTTTGCAGCCTCGCGAGCCTGAGGTTTGTGGGTTTGGGGAGGGTTTCGGAGCCAAGCCCTAGGGTTTAGGGTTTAGGGTTTAGGGTTTAGGGTTTAGGGTTTAGGGTTTAGGGTTTAGGGTTTAGGGTTTAGGGTTTAGGGTTTAGGGTTTAGGGTTTAGGGTTTAGGACCCAACCCCAAACCCTACGAAGAGCCAGTATAAGAGTCTAGGTCTCACTGCGTGCCCGTGAACCTTAGCAGACAAAGCCTGGACCTCTGACCCTGAACGCCTACCTGAGTTCATCCCCCAAAACCCCTTGAAACCTCGAAAGCCCGAAGCCCTAAACCCTAAACCCTAAACCCTAAACCCTAAACCCTAAACCCTAAACCCTAAACCCTAAACCCTAAACCCTAAACCCTAAACCCTAAAGCCTAAGCCCTAAACCCTAAACCCTAAACCCTAAACCCTAAACCTGAGGTCGCAGACGAGGAGGCCCAGTTCTTCGGCACGGCCGCCAACATCGGGGGGCTGCTTCTCATGGGCCACTACCTGGCCTGCATCTGGGTTCCGACCCCGGTTCGGTTTAGGGTTTAGGGTTTAGGGTTTAGGGTTTAGGGTTTAGGGTTTAGGGTTTAGGGTTTAGGGTTTAGGGTTTGAGGTTTGAGGGTTTTGGGCCTTGGGGTTTTGGGTTTTAGGGTTTAGGGTTTATGGTTTAGGGTTAAGGGCCTTAAGGGTTTGGGATTTACCGGTTTGGGGTTTGGGGTTCGGGTTTCCTTCCTTCAAGCAGTTCAAGAAAGCCTGAGAGCAGTTCAGAGTGCCAGCGGTCATTCAGATGTAAAGTTGCTCTTTTGCAGGATTTTGAGTACTTTGCCAGCCTACGAGAAGTGCAGAAAGGCTTCTTACTCGTGTTTAGCACGCAGAGAATTCGGGAATTAGGGTTCCTCCATGATCCTTTGAAGGGGTACATTCGCAAGACATGTGCCGGATGAGAGCCTAGGGTACATTTTCGGGTTTCCGGCTTCCTCAAAGTCGAAGAACTGCTAGAGCTGAAGCCAACCTTAGACTTGAGAAGAAGGCAAGCAAACCCTAAACCCTAAACCCTAAACCCTAAACCCTAAACCCTAAACCCTGCAGTATTGCCTTGCTCTTCCCTGGCGCAAGCAATGGCGCGCTGTAGCTTGGACACGTCCAGCCCAAAATAGCTGACCTTGATGGCTCGAACGAAGCCCGAAGCTCCCCTAAGTCCAGTTTCCCTCAACCCTAAACCCCAAACCCTAAACCCTAAACCCTAAACCCTAAACCCTGGGCGTAGGGCTTCCTGAAGCTCTAAGAGCCCTGAGCCGAGAACCCTATAAACCCGAAGGGCCACTCGATCCCCCTGAGCTGAACCCTGAACCCTGAACCCTAAACCCCAAACCCCAAACCCCAAACCCCAAACCCTAAACCCTAAACCCTAAACCCTAAACACCCCGACCCCAAAAACACCCACTCTAGACAAGCTGCAGGTCGGCCTGCTCGTCGATTGCACTTCAGAGCTCGACGCGCAGCAGCTCTGTCCAGACATGCTTACCGCCTGGGGCTTAGAGGGCAGGGGTTAGGGTTTAGGGTTTAGGGTTTAGGGTTTAGGGTTTAGAGTTTAGGGTTTAGGGTTTAGGGTTTAAGGGTTTAAGGGTGCGTCTTTAGGTAGTTGGGCTCCTAATTCTGGGCTATATTACGGTTACCTTAAGGATCTTAACCCTGAACTCACATCCTCGCCTCGCAACACCGAAACCACCAAGTCAGTGGGAGACCATTTCAAGAGTTTAGGAATTTGGTTTAAGAGGAAAGAAAAAGTTTTGGGGCATTGTTCAGATTCAGTGGCTCAGGTTTGTTGGGTTTGGCTTTGTTCGGACCTAGCAGGTAAGGGCTTCGGGTTTCGATGTTCAAGGGCGTTCGTGCCCCAGACATGCTGCTACTGTTAAAACTGCATTGTTAATACTAATACCTTCATGCGTGCCGTTCTTTGGCGTTCGCTTATTTTTCTATTGAAGGAGGGAGTGAACCGGCCAACGAACGGACGAACAGACGACAATTACATTCGATTTAGTGCCCCTGTGCTCTGACTAATATGCACTCAAAAGCCTGGTATATATGGAATTACAAGCGAGTTTGGGGAGTGTATGACTTTGATTCACTTTAACGGGTCTTTTGCAGACAGGCTAGTTCATTTGTATCGCCGGAGCACGCATTCACATCACCCGTGTCTTTTGCTCATAAGTCGTGCCTACTGCCGGGCATGGTTAAGGCCAAGCAAAAGGTTGTTGAGGTTGTTAGGGGCATGGAGTTTAGGGCCCTGAAGCCTCTTAGGGCCTAGTAAACCCGAAACACGGCTTGGGTTTGGGGTTTAGTAGGCAGTAGGTTGTATAGGGTTTTAAGGAGTCCACTTTTAAGGGCCCATATTCAGGGACCGTGTAGAACTACCCTCAGATTTAGGACACTGCGCGAGCCCTATAACAGGTCTACCTGCAGGGGTTGTCCATCGGCATGGCCTCTCTGGCCGGCTCCGATAGTGGCTTCGCTGAATAAGAGATCCCGAAGAATCCCAACGGTTTGGGGTTTAGGGTTTATAGGGTCTATAGGGTTTACCAGATTTTGCAGGGCTTTCTAGGGTTTTTTCGGTCTAAGCCCTAAACTCCTAAACCGTAAACCCTCTGGGGTGTTAGAGTTGCGGGTCGCGAGGGTTGAGGGCCTGGCATCCGTAGGGTTGATTATGGGGATTATCAGGCCTAATAGCCCATCCTGGCGACCTTGGGGTTTAGGGTTTAGGGTGTAGGGTGTAGGGTTTAGGGTTTAGGGTGCAGGGTGTAGGGTGTAGGGTGTGGGGTGTAGGGTTTAGGGTTTAGGGTTTAGGGTTAGTTTAGGGTTTAGGGTTCAGGGTTCAGGGTTCAGGGTTCAGGGTTTAGGGTTTAGGGTTTAGGGTTTAGGGTTTAGGCCTCATCAGCATGACACTCCCTTACGGGGATGCAGCACTCCCAAGTTTATTTCCACCGGTCGATGGGCTTAACCATGTTCGGTCCCTTCAACATATACTTGTTCTGGTCACTTCATAGAGCTCCAACCCGAAACCCAAAACCCTTTGGCGTTTCAGAGTTTGGGGTTTAAGAAGCAGCTTCTGAACTTGGCGTGCAAATTAGCTCCACGCAGCAGACTTGCCAAGCTCCCCACATCTAGGGAGTCCGGGCACCATGGAAAGAGAATCAGCACAACCCAGAACACTTTCCAGAGCAGCGCCCTCGCCATTTCAAGCCCTAAACCCTTAACCCTAAACCCTGAACCCTGAACCCTACACCCTAAACCCTAAACCCTAAACCCTAAACCCTAAACCTAGACCCTCAACCCCGAAAAGCAGCTTTGCGCCGAGGCTGGACGCGGTACAGCTTCGAGCAGGTGTCTGCTACAGAACCTTGGCTGCGCTAGGGTTTAGGGTTTAGGGTTTTGGGTTTGGGGTTTGCGGTTTAGGGTTTAGGGTTTAGGTTTTATGGTTTAGGCTTATAATATAGTTTAGGGTTTAGGGTTGAGGGTTTGGGGATTCGGGTTGAGCGTCTTAGGGGTTTAAGGCTTTGAGAGTTGGAGAGCGTACGGTCTTAGAGCTCGAACTTGCCCATTACCTGAGTGTGATCCGCAAAGTGACAAAGTGATGTTTTCTATTTCAACACTAAGTCCCGCAGTATTAAGGAGTTCGTGGGGAACCTAGCAAATAAGGCCCAGTAAACACAACCCCACGCCCCACCCACCCCCCCCCCCCCCCCCCCCCCCCCCCCCTCCCCCTGCCCCGGGCCTTTGGGGGGTTAGGTATAGCTTATCCATTAGGAAATTTGTCGCAGGCTACCCAACAACAAGGTACTACCTTGGAATCTATGGGTAGACTCGCCGCAATTACAGTTTGCAAGAGTTTGACCCTGACCTACCCCGAACCCTAAAACCCTAAACTCTAAAGCCAGCCTAAACCCTAAACCCTAAACCCTTGAAATCCCCGAACCTCTACCCCAAAAACCCCTAGGCCCTACACATGCCAATCCCATGAGGAGCCGTGGGCCTTCCAATGGCATGCCTACTACACCGGGCACCTCGACGGAAGTCAGGGCTTCTTTAGGGTTTAGGGTTTAGGGTTTAGGGTTTAGGGTTTAGGGTTCAGGGTTCAGGGTTTAGGGTTCACGGCTTAGGGTTTAGGTTCCGGGTTTAGGGTTTCGGGTTTAGGGTTTAGGGGTTTAAGGGTTTAAGGGTTTAAGGGTTTAAGGGTAAGCCCTTTCACTGGAAGAGCTGTCGGTGGAACGGAAAGGCCCAAGCCCATGCCGGCACGGCCCCCCAATAGAACACCAGGAGGGATCAAAGAAAAAAGAAAGCCCTTTTAGAAGAAATAGAGTTTCTTGAGTGCTTTTTGTAGGCTTGCGTTTCAAGCAGTGAAGAACTTATATCAGTGGCTGGAGTGTCCCTAAACCCTAAACCCTAATCCCTAAAACCCTAAAACCCTAAACCCTAAAACCGTGGCTCTAGCATGAGTAGGTTCAAGATTTGGCCAGTTTTCGGCTGCTTTGACAGCAGGCCTCTCCCTCCCTCCCTCCCTCTCTCTCTCTCTCTCTCTCTCTCTCTCTCTCTCTCGCACCCAATCACGAAACCCGGCAGACTCTATAAGACATATGGAAAACCTACTAACTATAGACCCTACTTTCTGAACCGTATCAAGCCCCATATAGCCCAAAGCCCCAAACCTTAAACCCTGAACCCTATAAACCCTACAATTCCTAAACACCCGATAAGCACTACAAACCCTGTAAAGCCTGTAAACCCTAAAACCCTGTAAACCCTAGAAACCCTATACACCCCACAAACCCTCTAAACCCTATAAACCCCGAACACTAAACCCTAGACCCCAGACCCCAGACCCCAGACCCTAGACCCTAGACCGACCCTAGACCCTCGACCTTAGACCCTAGACCCCAAACCCTAAAACCCTAAACCCTAAACCCTAAACCCTAAACCCTAAACCCTAAACCCTAAACCCTAAACCCTAAACCCTATCAACCGAGGCTCTGCGAAGTTGTGGCTGCCTTGAGCTCCCTGCTTGGCGTCATCCTCGTCGGCTGCCTTGGCCGCACATCGTTCCAGGGCCCCGTGTGGTGTAGCCCTAAACCCTAAACCCTAAACCCTAAACCCCAAACCCCAAACCCCTACACCCTAAGCCCTAAACCCTACACCCTAAACCCTAAACCCGAAACCCTAAACGGGCATCAAGGGGCAAGAGCTTGCGCTTTACCTAATCCTAAACCCGAAACCATAAGCCCTTCAGGGTTTAGGGGTTTTTGTGTTTTGGGGTTTCCGGCGGCGCCCTCCCCAAGACCCCTCCATTCTTATCCCCACCCCCTAAACACTAAACCCCCCAACTTTCCTGAGAGACCCTGAGCCCAGATCCTAGGAAAGGGTTGAGGGTGCAGGGCTCAGGGACCTCAAAACCCGAAACCCGTGTTTTTGTTTCATGAAGGGTTTTTGTTGCCCTGAGTGTTTTTTTGCTTGGGCCCGCAACCGCAGCAGAAGCAACAAAATGAAACACTCTTATGCCTCAAAGCTCCCAAATATATAAGCCACAACGACCCTGTCATACCCTGTCGCTATAACCCTGCTATTCGAGCTCGAGGCCCTTTTGTTTGTAGGTTGCCTAAGTGCACAAACCTAAACGCTAAACCTCAACCGTCCCTATACCCCCATGCCAACCCCCCTACCCCCAAAGCAAAACCCTAGGAACTTAAACCCTCAACCCCAACAACCCTATGAACCCTACAAGCCCCACAAACCCCCCCAAAAAACCGGACGCGGCTTGAGTGGTGGCTACGTCAAGCCGAAGAAAGGTCTGGCGGCAAGCACAGGTTCCAACAGTTCCTTGGTCGAAGAGTGCTTGGCCCCGCAAGCGCGAGCATGCCGTGCTGGAGGACAACGACCCTACCGGCTGCCAGCCCAAAAAGGGCAAGGATGGCGAAGTGTGAGAGCGGCATTTCCACCTTTGCAATACCCAAGCGATCCCCGGACCTGAACAACATGGATTTCTGTATGTCTCCAACCAACCGGCGCCTCAGGCGCCAAGATTTTAAACCCTAACCCTAAACCCTAAACCCTAAACCCTAAACCCTAAACCCCTACACCCTGGCGCCCCGAAACTAGGAGCCAGAGTAGGCCTGCGTACCCTATCTCAGGTTTTGGCTCCCTTACCTTGAAACCAAAAAAGGTACCCTTGGGCTACTCTTGGGTCCCTACACCCTAAACCCTAAACCCTAAACCCTAAACCCTAAACCCTAAACCCTAAACCCTGAACCCTGAACCCTAAACCCTAAACCCCTAAACCCTAAGCCCTAAGCCCTAAACCCCTAAACCCTAAACCCTAAACCCTAAACCCTAAACCCTAAACCCTAAACCCTAAACCCTAAACCCTAAACCCTAAACCCTAAACCCAGCCTATCCCTAAACCCTAAACCCTCAACCCCTCAATCCCGAGGCATGCTCTACAGCAACCTGGCGCACGCCATGGACCGCCACCACTCGCACACGCGCCTGTTCCATGCGCGAGTGTCCAACCTCCAGGCCGAAGTTGGGGTGTAGGTTTAGGGTTTAGGGTTTAGGGTTTAGGGTTAATTAGGTGGTTCCCAAATACTATTTTCCAATGAAAAAGTACACTTTTGAGGATTCTATGGAAGGTTTGGGGTTTAGGGTTTAGGGATTAGGGTTTAGGGTGTAGGCTTTAGGGCTTAGGGTTTAGGGTTTAGGTTTTAGGGATTTTATGGTATAGGGTTTAGGATTAAGGACAGGTGCTTGTTGTGAGGTTTTTGTCTTGGCCTTAGGGTCTAGGGTTTAAGGTTTAGGGTTTAGGGTTTAGGGTTTAGGGTTTAGGCTTTGGGGTTTAGGGTTTAGAGTTTGGGGCCCAAGGCTTCGCAAGCCGGTTTTGGGGCTCAGGGTTGTGCAAGCTGGTTTCAGGGTTAGGGGCCGAATCAGTGAGCCCTTTTGCAGAGCCTGACCGTTGACCCTAAACCCTAAACCCTAAACCCTAAACCCTAAACCCTAAGGCCCCTAAACCCTAAGCCCCCTAAACCCTAAACCCTAAACCCCTAAAGCGCCTAAAGCCCCTAAAGCCCCTAAACCCTAAAACCCTAAAACCCTAAACCCTATGACAAGGCTGCGGCCCATCAGCACGCGATCCCCAAAGACTCACAGCGGCATCAGCAGCAGGGTTTGGGGTTTATAGGGTATAGGGTTTAGGGTTTAGGGTTTAGGGTTTAGGGCCAGAAACCATGGTGGTTATACCCAACCCTGAACCTTGGGGTGGGCATGCTTAGGTTTTAGGGTTTAGGGTTTGGGGTTTAGAGTTCAGGGTTTCGGGTTTAGGGTTTAGGGCTGGGATTTAAGATTTAGGGTATAGGGTCCACTAGTAGCACCGGATACGATTTCGGTCGTCGTCCTTCCTAGATCGTAGGTTCCACCCATTACTTCCTCAGAACCCTCTGAACACCTAGGCTTTAACTGCTCAACTCAGATCGGGTGGAGTTTTCAACAGAGTTCGGCTTTCGTCGGCTGCACCGACACCGAGACCCTAAGCCCTCAACCCTGAAACCCTACGCTGCCCAGAACCAGAACCCTGAGCCCTTGACGAAACCTTAACCCCCTAAGCTCAATTGCACCTAAACTTCAACCCTTAGAATACTTTGGGGTTGAGAGTTTAAACCCGAAGCCCTAAACCCTAAACCCTAAACCCTAGCCCTAAACCCTAAACCCTAAACCCTAAGCCTTCTCCGTGACCTCATTAAGTAAGGAGCTCTTCGGTCGCATCAAGCGGCACTACTACTACGCGGCTGGGCTGGAACAGTGTGGTGTAGAGTTTAGGTTTTAGGGTTTAGGGTTTAGGGTTTAGGGGTTTACATAGGGTTTAAGGTCTAAGGGGCCTTCATGAACCCTGAAACATAACTAATCTGCCCCATGTTGCTGTAATCCCTGGTGGGTATAAGTGGGGATTTTCCCCCTTTATACTAACAGTCCTTAATGGGGAGTATCATAGGGGGGGTACTACAGTACCTATCAAGGACTGTCAGTATAAGGGAGAACATCCCAAGGATAAGCCCGGATCCCTCAACTAGGGGCTGAGGTTCGTTGAGATAAGAGAAGGTTCACCCCACCCCACACCCGAGCCCAGAAACGTGGCTGTCATTCTTCGGTTGCTCCCCTAAACCCTAAACCCCTAAACCCCTAAACCCCTAAACCCCTAAACCCCTAAACCCCTAAACCCCTAAACCCCTAAACCCCTAAACCCTAAACCCTATACCCTAAACCCTAAACTCCCACAAATCAACAGTCACCACCACGCAAAAGCAGGTCTGGTCCTGCGGCTCGGACACCTCAAAGGCCATTCTCACCGACGCCACGCTCTCCCTGGACTTGAGGCCTGGGAAGTGCTTTTTGGGAGCTGCTATCGGGTATGCTCAGCAATATTTAGGGTTTCGGGTTTAGGGTTTGGGGTTTAGGGTTAGGGATCGGGTATTCGAGACGAGTGCTCAGTTAGTCAAGCCACTGCCATGCAGAAAGACTGCGCCCAAGTCTTCCATGTAAGTTCTTGTGCTGACTCGAGCAGATTGCGCCCGTCGCAGTCCTGAACGCATGGGTTCTGAGTTTTCGATCCCGTGAAACGTCAGAGTTTTTTGCTGAAGTCTGCTTTCCGCCACCCTAAACTCTGAACCTAAACCCTAAACCCTAAACCCTAAACCCTAAACCCTAAACCCTAAACCCTAAACCCTAAACCCTAAACCCTAAACCCTAAACCCTAAACCCTAAACCCTAAACCCTAAACCCTAAACCCTTCCCCAAACGCTGAACTTCATGCGCCCCACCTGCACTCCGCCCCTTGGTGCGAGGCGCGAGCTGGCCTACTGCTTCTATGGGCACATCCTCAAGCAGGCGATGTTTGTGTAGAGTTTAGGGTTTAGGGTTTAGGGTTTAGGGTTTAGGGTTTAGGGTTTAGGGTTAGGGTTTAGGGTTGTGATTCCAACCGCAGGGGCGCAAGGCCCGAAGAAGACTCAAGTTTGCTAGCTACAAGCCCAAAACCCTTAACCCGAAACGTCATGAACTCTGCCCCCGAAGCTCTGTCAAATTGGGCGGGGTTTTCCATCGGGACTACTAAGCTGTAGTAGCAAGTGGGAGAAGATGCGTACGACTGTAGACGCCAAAGGCTTTAAACACCAAGCCCCAAAGCGTCCCTAACACGTAAAGCCTCTTCCTAAAATCGCAGCCCAGAACCCCAAAGAAGCCGGGCTTAGCATTTAGGGGTTTAGGGTTTCGGGTTTAGGGTTGGGGGTTTGACGCGCAGGTGCCGTTTCTAGAGCTCACTGACAAGCACTTCTTGCAGATCCTCGGCAGCGCAGGAGGAACTTCTCGCATGACGAAATCCCCACTTATGCTGAACGCCCAACCCTACATCTGGATTTTTGAACTTTTCTAATGACCCTCTTGTCCTCACAAATTTCATATGTTAAGCCCCCAACCTTGTGATTTCGAGACTTGCTGCTCGTAGAAGCTCCTCTCATATGAAAGCCACGTTGAGCACTATCAGCGGCAACTGTGGTACCTTTTGGGGTTACGATACTAAGGCAACATTTTTGGGGTGCCCGAAAGGGGACCCTAAACCCTAAACCCTAAACCCTAAACCCTAAACCCTAAACCCTAAACCCTAAACCATCACTTAGAAAACTGACCAAAACATCTGCTGCCAGCATCTACTGAGGCAGATCTGCCACCTGGTCGCACATTGGGCGGCGCGGGGTGGGTGGTATCTTGGTGTACCCTAAGCCCTAAACCCTAAACCCTAAACCCTAAACCCTAAACCCTAAACCCTAAACCCTAAACCCCAATCCCTAAACCCTAAACCCTAAACCCTACAAAAAGCCTGGTATGTTGCCTCCAGCCCCTTGCGTCGGGCAAGGAGCCCTTGGGATCCTTAGAAGCTTAGTTAGGGTTTAGGGTTTAGGGTTTAGGATTTAGGGTTTAGGGTCTATGGGGTTTACAAGGTTTGTTTCTCCAAGGTTGCTGGGTAGTCCAGCCAAGCATGTCTCCTAAGCCCGAATCCCGAAGCACGAAATTAAGTTGGGGTTCTATAGCTGTGGGTTTTCTTTTTTGGGACATCCTCTGTGTTCTTTGTGAGTGCATGTATTTAGTATCCGGTCAAGATGTGCTATTTGTTGTTTGTGAGTGTATCTGTTAAGTATCTTTTTGCGCTATCCAATTTGTAAAATTGCCTGATATACCGGACCCTAAACCCTAAGCCCTAAGCCCTAAACCCTAAACCCTAAACCCTAAACCCTAAACCCTAAACCCTAACGGAGGCGAATTTGTGGAGATCGAGATCTTTGCGGCGCAGGACCCCCGCAGCCGTTCTTTCATAGCGGCCAAGCTAGAACCTCTGCCGTCCTGTCGATCAGCAGAAGGAGTCTTTGGCCTAAGCCCTTACAACTTGGGATGTTCCCCCTTATGCTAACAGTCCTGAATTGGGATGATAGCAGGGGTACTATAAACCCTATCAAGGACTGCTAGTATAAGGGGGAACATCCCAACTGATCACCCTCCAACCCCAAAATCCTACACACCCTTAGCCTCCCATGACATGAGCCTCTGGGGTGTTGTATAGGACCGCATCATCTGCGCCGGGGATGTTGGAACCGAGCTGTACTTCGTCGCGGTGGGTGAGGCCTCCTATGCGTGGTTGCGGATCGAAAGTATGCAAAAGCCATCTAACAGGCCCAACAATCTCAACCCCCTAAACCCTATAAACCCTACACCCCCAGCCCAAGTTTACTGCAGAGGGCTTCCCTAAACCCTAAACCCTAAACCCTCAACCCTAAACCCTAAACCCTAAACCCTAAACCCTAAACCCGTAGACGTTGCTTGGTTTGTTCCTCCGCCCGGTTGACAGGTCGAAGTCGCCACCAGGCAGCAAGTGAGGAGCCGCATTGCCAGACTGCCAGTGGAAGGGTCTATAGGGGGTTTAGGGTTTAGGGTTTAGGGTTTAGGGTTTAGGGTTTAGGGTTTAGGGTAAAAGGGTTTAGGGTTTGGGTTTAGGGTTTAGGGTTTAGGGTGCGTGAGCAACATGTTGTTGGGTTGAGGCTTGTGATTATTCAGAGTTGGCTAGGGCTGCTAATCTACCAGGAGGGGCCTCCCTAGTTACAAGTACAGTTATCAGGGCCCTAACTTGGGTTATAAGGATCCTAACTTAGGTTAACGGTTATAAGTCCCTTAACTACAGTTAGTATAGTAAGGGGGGCCCCTCCTTGTACCTAACCTAATGCGACTCTAGGCTTCTAAAACCCTGCAAATTCCACAGTTGATGGTTTAGGGTTTAGGGTTTAGGGTTCAGGGGGAGCCGATGGCCTTGTGTTCTTTACTCGCCTCACGACGAATGACCTAGGTTCTGCATTGCCCAGTCTCTGAAGGAAGGCCCAAAAACCCTAAACCCTAAACCCTTGCTCCTTCTGCTGGATTTAGGGATTAGGGACTCAGAACCCATCGTCCCACACCCTATGGAGGGTTGAGGGTCCAATATCCCAAGAACCCCCAAGTCGCATGTATCTTAAACCGAACCTTTGCCAGCTAGTGGGTTTAGGGTTTAGGGTTTAGGGTTTAGGGTTTAGGGTTTAGGGTTTTGGGGTAGTCTACCGAAGTTCCGACTAGGTAACCCCGAGACAAGCGACATTGCAGCCCTCGGCTAAATTCTGACTGCTGCACCGATCACCCCAAAAAACCTAAACCCTAAAACCCCAAAACCCAAAACCCCTAAACCCTGCCCCTAACCTTCAAACCCTACAACCCTAACCCCTAAACCCTAAACCAGGTTTTACCCAGCGGCCTGATCGACCGCAAGGGCACCGTCATCAAGACCCTGCATGAAGGAGCCGCCTTTTGGGGCTTTATCGAGGTCAAGAGGTACTGACTCAAGGGTTAGCGTTTTGGGTTAGGGTTTAGGGTTTAGGGTTTAGGGTTTCGGGTTTAGGGTTTAGGGTTTCGGGCTTTTCCACGTTCTGTGGCGGTTTCAGTGAGGGATTTCGGGAGGCTTGGTTTGAGGGTTTCAGGTTGCGGGGGTCACAGGGCTCCTGAAAGGCAAAAAGAATAGGGACGGACGTCTGAACCCTAGACTAAAGGGACGAAAGCGGGGGACCCTTGTAAGGGACCTTAGGGGTCCTTGCTTCTACCCCTTAATAGACCCTGGAAAAGAGGAATCAAGTCCTGAACTACAGTCACGTGGGCTCCAGACCTTTCAAAGATGGCGATATAATCCAAAACCCGAAACCGGAAACCCTAAACCCTAAACCCTAAACCGTAAACCCCAAACCCTAAACCCTAAACCCCTGCGCCTACTCAAAGCTACGAGCTCTAAGGCCCCCCAGCCTTCAGAGCAGCGCCATGAATCGCAATCGACTGCAGATCACACCAGTGAGAATGCGATCCTTGCACCGAACCGGTTTAGGGTTTAGGGTTTAGGGTTTAGGGTTTAGGGTTTAGGGTTTAGGGTTTAGGGTTTAGGGTTTAGGGTTTAGGGTTTAGGGTTTAGGGTTTAGGGAATGAATGAGCAGTATCAAGTACCTGCAAGAAGAGATGTAGGAGGCAAGTGAGATGGTGATTTGGGATCACTACTTTGCCGGTGGTCCGCAGGATCGTTCTTCGGCGAGCTTCTTGACATCAGAGAGCACCTAGGGTTTAGGGTTTAGGGTTTAGGGTTTAGGGTTTAGGGGGAGCAGCTTCGTTTGTTGGGCTTCTGTGGTTACGCCCAGGGCTTAGGAGGGTTTATGGTCTATGCAGGGTGTGCGGGTGTGGTACTTGGGGGGCTTTCAAGGTGGATTCCACCCGCAAGCCTTTTATACTATAAGCCCCAACAGCCATATCCTTGCGCCGTACCCTTGGGGCTTTGCGGGTTTACGGGGCTTACCGGGTCTAGGGTTTAGGATCAATCCTAAACCCTAAACCCTAAACCCTAAACCCTAAACCCTAAACCCTAAACCCTAAACCCTAAACCCTAAAGTTAGAGTTTCCGAATCTCAGGCTCGGGCTGCTCTTCCCCGACTCCAAGCACAAGGCTGTGCTGGTCGGGTTTAGGGTTTAGGGTTTAGGGTTTAGGGCTTGGGGGGGCATATCGCATTCAGGAATTAGGGTTTGAGGTTCGGAAGGTGGTCGGATTGACCACACAGGTAAACCCGAGACCCTAACCCGGACACGCTAATCCATCAAAGTTGGGATGTTTCCCCTTAATCGAACAGTCCTTAATCGGGATTGTAGTAGGGCATACTATAATCCCTATTAAGGACTCGAAGTATCAGGGGGGAACATCCCAACCTCAAACACATCAAACCATCCAACCCCGCTGAAAGAGGCCTGTAGCTTCTCGTGCGCAAGGCCTCCGGCCAGCGCAGACTGGGTTTGCTGCACTGGTTTTGCCAGTCCCTCAACCCCAAGCCCTTCAACCCTGAGCCCCTAAACCCCTGGACCCCTAAACCCTGAACCCGAAACCCCAAACCCTAAACCCTAGACCCCTAAGCCCTTAACCCTAAACCCTAAACCCAACAGAAACGGTCGACCTTTTCAGGAGTGTAGGGGTTGACGATGCTGCCAGTGTCTGAAGGGTAGTTTCATGTGCCCTTAATATCCCTGACCTCCGTTAAAGGGTTCTGACCCTGTTGAGTTTTATAGTAAGAGGTATATAAGGGGTACCCTTTTAAGGGCCCTAAACCCCAAACCCCAAACCCCAAACCCCAAACCCCAAAGCCTAAACCCTAAACCCTAAACCCTAAACCCTAAACCCTAAACCCTAAACCCTAAACCCTAAACCTCAACCCCATGTAACTAATCTAAGACAGCGTACCCAACTTGGCAAAAGGTGGACGTCTTCGGCTCGACAGCCGGGTGGCTTCTGGTGGTGCCCAGGGGCACCCTGGCACCTTGCCCTGCCATTCGGAGTAGCCCTAAACCCTAAACCCTAAACCCTAAACCCTAAACCCTAAACCCTAAACCCTTTTTACCTAAAACACTCTTCCGCAGCTGTCATCCATGCAGCTCCGGCCGTCCGCCGGGGTGGAGCCGAGCTTAGAGAGTCAGACCCCAAGCCCTAAACTACCAAAAAAAACCCTAAACCCTAAACTCGAAAACCTACGCCCCAAACCCTAAACCTCAAACCAAAGAATACAAGTATTCTTACAACAGAGAGCAATTTTCGACACCTGCTTTTCACTGCTTGCTCCTCACAAGAGACCCAAAAACCCTAAACCCCAAACCCTAAACCCCAAACCCCAAACCCTAAACCCTAAACCCCAAACCCCAAACCCTAGACCCTAAACTTCTTTTTCAGCTGCCCTCCCAGGAGAAGTTCTGCACCGAGGAGCTGTTGGAGACCTTTCGGCAGCTTGGGCGAAGTCAGGGATGTAGTTTGGGGTTTAGGGTTTAGGGTTTAGGGTGTAGGGTTTAGGGTTTGGGGTTCAGGGTTTAAGGTTTAGGGTTTAGCGTTTATAGGGTTTAGGGTTTAGGGTTTAGGGTTTAGGGTAAGTGTAGTTTAGGGGGTTTGGTGTTTCGGTTTCAAGTTTTAAGTGACTTTGGGTTTTGGTTGTAGGGCTTTGGGGCTGAGGCCCACGTCCAGGAATCTCTGCTGCAACCGTAGGGCTAGCCCTAAACCCTAAACCCTAAACCCTAAACCCTAAACCCTAAACCCTAAACCCTAAACCCTAAACCGGACTTCGGAAGCCCCAAGGTTCGTGGCTTTGGAGCGACTGCGCAAGCCACTCGGCGGAACTATTCTTGCTAGGGTTTAGGGTTTAGGGTTTAGGGTTTAGGGTTTAGGGTTTAGGGTTTAGGGTTTAGGGTTGAGGGTTGAGGGTTGAGGGTTGAGGGTTTAGGAACAGGACGCTTGGCTGTGGAAAGAGCTTGAAAAAGCCAAAGCCCTCAAGGCCCAAACACTCCAACCCTTCAAACCCTCACGCCCTAAACCCTAAACCCTAAACCCTAAACCCTGAACCCTAAACCCTAAATCCCTCAAGCCTAAAGCTTATTATTCCGAACCCCAAAATGAACGCCGCCGACCCCCCCCTCCTCCTCCCCCCCCAAGACCCGAAGAACTCCGGCTACCTCCCGCCCTCAGCATAAGTTACAAGCTCCAAACCCCTAAACCCTAAACCCTAAACCCTAAACCCTAAACCCAAGCGTCTCCAGGCATTCTGAGATGGCGACAGGGGTGGCTTCAGACGAGGTCTGGTGGGGCCTGGGGATCTTCACTTGTAGGTGCCTTCGGAGCACGGTAAATGCTTAGGGCCTGCTTTTTGAGGTGTTTAGGTTTTGAGCCCTAAGCCAAACCAAGGAGGGTTTTTCTTGTGCCTTTCTGTTTTGTGAGGGGGGGGGGGGTCTATAGGGTTTATGCATGTATAGGGCTGCTCCGTGGTCCCCCAAGTACCTGCTATTTTTGTGGGTTTTGTGTTTAATGTTCAAGAGGTTCCAAGCAGCTGATTTGTACAGTTCGGCTTTGCGGGTTTGGATTTTGAGGTACTTAGAGAATCAACCCAGGGATACGGAGTTTCGGCCAAGCCCTAAACCCTAAACCCTAACCCCTAACCCCTAAACCCTAAACCCTAAACCCTCCGGAGCAGAAGTGTGGCTCCCTTACGCCCGAACGCCCATGCTCCCGCGCCCGAAGGCCAGCCGTGCTGGCTCTGACAGCAGCGACTGCTCCCAGGTAACGCAGAGCAACTGCAGCTGCAAGGAGATGTTGTTTAGGGTTTAGGGTTTAGGGTTTAGGGTTTAGGGTTTAGGGTTTAGGGTTGAGGGCGAGGGTTTCGGGGTTTGGGGTTGGGATGCTCGCCCTTATACTAAAAGTCCTTAATAGGGATAATCCCATTCTGGGCTGTTTGTGTGGACTGCTCGTATAAGAGGGGAACATCCAAGGGCTTGGGGTTTGGGGTTAGGGTTAAAGCCTGCACCCAGCACCCCGATAAGTTTGGCCCTATATCATGGCAGCGCACTGGTCTCAACTTGACCTGGGGCCTGATGTTGAAATCTCAGAAGCTTCTCAAACCGAAGCCGTGAACTCTAGCCCTAAATCCTAAACCCTAAACCCTAAACCCTAAACCCTAAAAACACTATAACCCTAAAACCCTAAGCCCTCAGCCCCAAGAGTCGGCTCCCTATCTCAAAGACCTTCTTCTAGAGAACTCAGGGTTTAGGGTTTAGGGTTTAGGGTTTAGGGTTTAGGGTTTAGGGTTTAGGGTTTAGGGTTTTGGTCCCAACCTTTCCCCCTTTCCTGCCAAGGTGTCCAGCGTAAGGGTTTAGGGTAAGAAGTAAGCCCCAAACCCCAAACCCTAAACGCCCTAAACCCTAATCGCCTAAAACCTACACCCTAAACACCCTGAACCAAACACCCTAAACCCTAATCATCCTAAACCCTAAACCCTAAACACCCTAAACCCTAAACACCCAAAACCCTAAACACCCAAAACCCTAAACCCCAAGCCCCAAACCCCAAACCCTACTTACCCTAAACGCCCAAAACCCTAAACACCCTAAACCCCAAACACCCAAAGCCCTAAACACCCAAAACCCTAAACACCCAACACCCTAAACACCCAAAACCCTAAACACCCAAAACCCTAAACAAACCCTAAACCCTAAACCTTAAACCCTAAACCCGAAACCCTAAACCCTAGCCCTAAACCCTAAACCCTTTCGGGTTCAAGGCGAAGTTTGGAATCCCCATGCCGACCTGGGAGAAGAGAAGGCCCGACCTTGTGAGGGCTTTGGAGGGTGCTTGGGCATTTGTAGGGTTTAGGGTTTAGGGTTTAGGGTTTAAGGTTTAGGGCTTGTGGTTAGGTATGTTTAGGGCCTGTCGGGGTGTGGGATGCTTCAGGTTACCAGCGGAAGGTTCAGGGTCTCAAGACCACCTCAAGGTCAAGCCGGCCAATGTGCTGAGGCTTGACACGTTCTCGAACACTTTTGGCGACAGCGCTCCCTAACCCATTCCTTTTAGGGCCAGGGTTTATAAGCTCAAATCAACCTACTTGCAAAAAAAAAGCCTTCCGTCACCATCGGTCGCCAGGCCAGTTCCCAAGGAGATGGGGTGTCAGAGTCCATACTGGGGAGGTTTTTAGAGGGAAGTCCTACCACGAATCGAGGGGGTTCGAGTATCCTCAGAGACCCAACCTACTTTCTGGTGCAGGTGGGATAAAAAAAGATGGCCTTAAACCCTGAACTGAGTGCCTCTGGTGCGCCCCTGCGCAGGTTACTTGCAGGATAGTACTTTGAGATTTTCAGGGGTCAGTTGTGGTCTTTGGCTCACTATATTTTCCTCCTTTCTTTTGCTCAAAAATGGCTCGTTAGGGTTTAGGGTTTAGGGTAGGGTTCAATAATAGTATGTGGTTGGGCATGCATTGAATGGGAGGTACCTGATTCCCGACTGTCGAGCCTTTCACCCCCCACTTCCTCTGCAAACCCAACCTCTAGACCCAAATCAAAAGGGCTTCAGGTTGCAGGGTTTCGGGTTTAGAGTTTAGGGTTTAGGGTTTAGGGTTTAGAATCATAGGGCTTTACGACCTACGCACTGCACTTCTCCAAACTGGTGCAGAACGACACCCACAGCCGCGAAAAGCCAACTTCGAGCCAGCAGGACTGAGTTCAGTGCAGGGAGTTGGTCTTCCTAGCTTATAGGGTTGTGGTTGAGGGTTGAGGGTTGAGGGTTTAGGGTTTAGGGCTTAGGGTGTAGGGTTTAGGGTTTAGGGTTTGGGGAAAGGGTTTCATGAAAGGCAGGTACCTACGGAACCTTCGGGAAGCTTAGGAAGCCTTCGGGGCTGGGGAGCATGAGGGAGCCTTGGGTTACCCTAAACCCCAAACCCTAAACCCTAAACCTGAAACCCTTGAGAACCCTATAGCTTCCTTCCGTTTGGGTTTAAGGTTTTAAGGTCCTTTGTCCTTTGGGGGCCCCAAGACGACATCAAAGCCATAGGAAGATATGCCTTTTGCCTTACACCTTGAAACCACGCAAAGCCCCCAAAACCCACTAAGTTCAGGACCCTTTCACCTGAGGAGCTACGGACTGGTAGCAGAAAATCAGCTTTCTCATGGGTCTTTGGGTGCCGCAACTATGAGGGCTCGTAACGTAGCCCTACACCCCAAACCCGAAACCCTACAGCCTACACCCCAAACCCAAGCCCATAGTCGGGGCGGAGATAGGAGACGAAAGGTGCGGAAAGTGCATGTCCGACGTTTAGCCTCAAGCCCCCGAGTCTGCACCTCCCCGTCGCCGGGGTGGCGCCACCCCAGAACGGGAGCCTAGGCCCTAAACCTGATACCCGAAACCCTACATGTCAGACTGGCAGGATGAGAAGTTTGAGGCACCACCCAACACTTTCCGGTCCCGGAAGAGCTCGGACTTGGGCGCGGCGCTCGGAATTTGGGGTTCGACCGGGTTTAGGGTTTAGGGTTTCGGGTTTCTGGTTTCGGGTTTAGGGCTGAACCGGATTGTTAGGGGGCCGAAGGTTTTTTGGGTTTAGAGTTCAGGGTTTAGGATTTGGGGCTTCGGATGGCTTACGGTTGCCCAAGCCCTAGCTACGTGCCCTGCACTCCACGTTCTAGCAGAGACGGCCTAAATGTTCATCGACTATTTTCAGTTCGTGGTGCTTTATTTGCTCCCTTGGCCACACACCCGAAACCCTGAACCCGGCGAGCCTTTCTCCCCAAAAACAGCCCCGACATCGGCGCTGCACCATTGTCTACACCCTCAAGGAAGGGGGAAGGACAATGCACACTCTGCCCAGGGATCAGGGTTTAGGGTTTAGGTTTAGGGTTTAGGGCTTAGGGTTTAGGGTTTAGGGTTTAGGGTTTAGAAAGATTTCCTCTACGGGAACCGGGGTTGCGAGGCACGGCTGCGGTGCCGCACCGGGCGGTTGGCGACGCTGCGAATCCAGGCCTGTGGGTGGCTTCGGGATGAGCCTGTAGGTTCGGGTTTAGGGTTTAGGGTTTAGGGTTTAGGGTTTAGGGTTTAGGGTTTAGGGTTTAGGGTTTAGGGTTTAGGGTTTAGGGTTTAGGGTTTAGGGTTTACTTTGTCAGGGTTGGGTACCATTTTACATGTTTAAGGGTACTTAAACCCTATAAAGAATAGAAACACTACATGTTTAGTATTTTCCCAGCCATGAACTAGCTTAGGGTTTAGGGTTTAGAGTTTGAACCCCAAACCTTAAACCCTAAACCCTAAGCCCTAAACCCTAAACCCTGAACCCTGAACCCTGAACCCTGAACCCTAAACCCTAAACCCTAAACCCTAACCCTAACCCTAAACCCTACCATTGAAAGACATCATGTCGTGGAGTTAGATGCTGGAGCTTCGTTGTATCATAGATTCGGGCAGTCAGCTGTTGACCCACCCACCAGCCTAAGCCGAAGCCCTAACCCTAAACCCTAAACCCTAAACCCTAAACCCCTCAATCCTAAACAGGAGGCCCAAGAGAAATCCCCACGTTTGCGGGCCTAGTGCCGATGGCTTTTGCTGCGTAGGTTCGTGCTAGGTGAGCCCTAAACCCTAAACCCCTGAAGCAATTGAATCCCCTGAATCCCCTGAATCCTCTAAACGAACACGTGGGCTTGGGACTTACAGAATTTTAGGTGTTAGGTTTGAGTGATTCAGGGTTTAGGGTTTTAGGGTTCAGGGGTTTTAGGTGGCCCCCAGCGCACACAACCCCAAAACCCATTGAAATCCTAGGTTTAGGGTTTAGGGTTTAGGGTTTAGGGTTTAGGGTTTAGGGTTTAGGGTTTAGGGTTTAGGGTTTAGGGTTTAGGGTTTGGGGTGGGTAACCGTAAACCCTCTTAACCGCATAGCCCTAGGAGCCCTCAACCCCAAAGCGAATAGACTTGGTGGCCGATTGGGATGCCACAAGAGCATCCGTTTCGTACGAGCAAGCAAGCGGAATTTCGATGCTTTGACCCACCTTCAAGAAATTCGCGAATTCAGCGTCACATTCGCGTGAAGCAGAGGTTCAAGAAGACAAAAAGGCGGCGGCGGTACAGATGGATGGGCCGATGTGCTTGCGGATGTGGCGTTTAGGGTTAGGGTTTTAGGGTTTAGGGTTTAGGGTTTAGGGTTTAGGGTTTAGGGTTTAATGACTTGGGGGGGCACATCAAGCTTTCTCCCGCTGCCGAATCAAGGCACCGGCTTTTTGGGTTTAGGGTTTAGGGTTTAGGTTTTAGGGTTTAGGGCTTGCCTAGGCCCAAGAGCAGGCCCAGGAATCAATAGGTTTCGGTTTAGAAGGGGTCTATAAGGGAATAAGGGTC